CAGAAAGGCTTGATTTCCCTAGAGCCAGCAGTGTGAACATCCAGAGTGCCAGTAACAGCAGGCAGTGGTGAGAAAATCCCTACCTCATCATCAGTCTATACGTCCCGTCTCCAACTGCCAGTTCCTGCAAAGAGCGGAGGCTGTTAGCACCCACCAAGGGTAACATGAATGCACCCAGCGAGTCCTGGCAGTGCGAGGCTCGAGTTATCCCATCAGGGCTTGGGTAAGGGGCACTTTTTTGGCAAATCAACTCTTTGGGCTTTGAACCGAAGCTGTGAGTAGGGAGGAGCAGCGTTCTCGCAGCCCAGCTACCAGAGATCACGCAGCAGCGCAGCATCTGCCAATTCATTCAGCACTGCTGGCCCATGCAGCAACATGGCACGCTGCTGTTCCATGTTTGGAGACAGTTTATACTGGAATAGGAGCAGTCTTCTTGGGTAAAATGATTATTTTTTTCCTCCATGAGAGCTCACGACTTTTTTAAAGAGAACTCCGCACACTTAAAATTGCCTAAGCACGAGAGGATGGGACGTGTCTGGGCAGCAGAGGCTCTCTGTGATACTTTTGCAGACAGTGACTTGAAAACAAGGATTAAAACATGGCTGGGGTGGGGCTGGAGCACTCAGAGGCGAAAAGTTACCCATGCACTTCTGAGAGAGGAGTCAGAGTGTGCCCAAGGAGACACTCACGCTTTGCTTTCCTTTCCCAGGCCAAGTGCAGCCTCTTTTCTAAAAGCTGAATCCAGATTTTTAGACATCAGTAGAATCACTCTGGTATTGGAGCCTGATCAAGCACAAAAATCATCCTCAGCCGTCACAAAAATACCAGATGGCTCCAGATGCCAGCTCCTTTGGCCAGGCAGCTTTTTCAGAGAAAAGGTCAGCTTGTTGTGCGAGCGCTGCATCCCAGATAAGAGTCTGCCGAGCAGCAAAGAGCCACAGAGAAACCCTTGGAGGAGGAGGAGCGTCGAAGCCAATGCTTTCCCGTAACATCGGATTTTCAAGGCTATGCGTACGCTCATCTCCAAATATGTTCTCCTTCTCCTGAGGGAAGTGGGACCTACAGAAGTGACTCTGGCTGTGGAAACACTCTGAGCAGTCGTGCACTTGAAGAGGGCGAAAACAAGCTGCAGTCAGAGCTGCCAAATCATTAGAAACAAATTAAAAAAACATGCCTGGGAATGTAAGAGCAGACAACTTGGTCTCTACATGGTGAGCTGGTCTTTGAAATATCAAAGCTGAGCTTTTAAACTGGTTAGTGCTCACTGGGTCAACAGTGCAACACCACCTACTCTGCTAAGTCCCCTCCACCTGCAGCGGTCTTTGGGGACACTACTGCCGTGGCAGTGACTGTGTATTCATGCAGTGCTGTGACGAACAGCAGGCAATAGGATCTCTGGCTCTCTTCAAGGAGATCATCATGGTTTTGCCTCTGCACAAGATAATGTTCTCTCCCTCAGCTGCTACGCAGAAACGTGCGCAAAGAACAAACACGATCTCTTCCATAAATAGGTCAGTGAAAGGATTTATGCACCATTTAAGACTTAAAACTGAATGCGCTGCACACACCTTGCGCAACCTCCACAGCAGAAGAAATGTCACCCTTCGTGTGGTGACTCTGCTTCTGAAGACCACTCACCGCAAGAAAATCAAACCAGCAGCCAACAACCAAACTGGCCTGCATGGGGATGACTCGGTTCTCTGCGACAGCTCTTGTTTTCCACCAACACCTGGAGAGGTAACACGGTGTCAAATGGTGCTTGCTGGAGGATCAAGGATTCATGGGGTCCATATGACTCCACAACTTTAGGGGCCCCTTCCCACAAAGCAGTGGGAATGCTGAAGAGAACTTACAGTAATCTGACACACACACTAAGGCCTGGTCAGCCACATGGGCCTTGCAAAAACCTGGAGGTACAATCAGTTTCTATTAAAAAAAAAAGTCTTTTCTTTTGCCTTGGGAGTCCTGAAATGACTGCGACACAATTAAAACCAACCGAAAAAAGAATGACAATGAGGAGTGGTGAGATGCTCTTTTCTGGGGAGCGTGGGCTGGTAATGTCCTTCTGGAAGAACCTCAGAGAGAGCGGTCACTTTTGATTACTACATAATGTGAGTAATTCTCTGGGAAGATGAGTCCTTCCTGCTTGAATCATAGCAAAGGGGGGAAAAATAACACACTCCAAAAACGGAAAGCTGGACAGCCCTTGGGTGCCGGGAGCCGCCCAAGATTCCTGCGCAGGGGCCACCACAGAGAAGCTGCATGGAGTGAGTCCACTAGCCCGGCACGCTGCTCTGGGGTGACGGCTCCAGCCCCAGAGCCAAGCTCGGACCGCGACCTACCTACTTGTGTGGCCACCCAGAGCGCTGGTGGGTATCGTAGGTGGCGTGGCACCAGCACGCGCAACACCTCCTCCTCGCCCAGGAGCCGCACGCTGCAGCCCTTCAACCCAGGCATTCACCCTGATGCACGAGATACGGGTGGCTCCTTCGGAGGCTCTGCCTTCTCCAAGAAGCCTGTCCTCGAGGTAGTTCTTGGCCAGCCCATGGCATGAACGCAAGCCATGGCAGCAGCACAGGACGTGTCTGGTGCCAAAAGAGGCTTTGTGCTTCAGTCCCAGGACAGCTGCACTTCTAAGAACCTGTGCACGGCCAGAAGTTGAGAGGAACGACTGGGACAGATCCCCAGAGTGGTTGGAGCCGTGGGCTTTGTCTGTGACACTGGGGGAAAAAGGAGCAGCACTGGTACTTGAGAAGCAGCGAGCCTGTTCTTCCCCAAGCCCTCCCGCTGTCCGCACCACAGACTCCTCAGCAGTCCTGCGGGTTTCGAAGCTCTACGCAGGGCCCCTACGACCAGCGAGACAGCTCACACACTTCATGTTCCACGTGGGTTTGAATGCCAGGCTACTGGCCTCGAAACCACGCCACAAAGGTCCGAGAGATACCTTGAACCCCAACGTCTTTATATAGACATATATGGTTACATTTAAACAGAAGAAATTTTTTTCTTCATGCTAATCCTCCAGAAAACCAGTTTGGTTTCCATTACTATATATAGCACTGGGATTCTTGGTCTATTTTTTGTCCCTTTGCATCTGATTATTTTCAGTAGAGTTCAAACTTTTTATGATAGGCAGATTTTAACTAGAACATGACTTGTATTCCTACAGACTTCCACTATTAATAAACCCACAACGGCCACATATAATGTAGAAGAATTTTATTCATACCGTAATCCTGTCCCATCATCCACTGCAAATATTACAATTATCTTTAAAATGTCATTGAATATCGTTTTGTTCCACTTAAAGCATAGGAATCCCGGTGTTAAATGGTTACACTTCTCTTGAGATTGCTTATAACAGAACTGCAATTCAAATGTATTTTCCATGAGCTGTGAAGGTTTAAAGCAAAGAATCTGTGGGGGGTGTGTGCTCGAGTAACTTCTGAACAGTGAGGCTAATACTTGGTGTTAACAAGAAATGTATCTTGCATATTATGCGAAACACAATTTTATACTGATACAACAGAAAGGCAATAGGTAAAAGAACAGACAGGAGTGACTGGTAACCTTTAAAAAATATTTCTTTTAAAAATTGCACAAGAGAATACAAAAACAGTGAAGCAAATCAAAAGTTTTGCAAATGCATATACATTTATCTCTCTCTATATAACGGGGGTCTGCCTATACAAATATACGTCATAAAAACTGGAAGGTTGAAAAATGTGAATGGTCATATTTAATAACACGTGCAAGAAGCAATACACAGTTATAATAAATAGTAGCAACGAATGTACACGAACAGGACCACTGAAAATATGCTGAAATAAATTAAGCACCTTGAAGTGATGAGAGGGAATCTGAAGTCGAGCAGCAGTTAGCTATGTAAAAACCACGGTGGGCAGCTACTGGAATATCGGGCCCTCTTGGTGGGGAGTCGATAGGGCAGTCCCAAGTTAGTTTTTCTTAATTCCAAAGAAGAAAGCACACTGCATGTCAGTAGGAGTAATTTTAGCCATGTTCTTCACTAACACCTCTAGTTTCAAAAGGGAGATTGCGGCCACCTTCACTGCACCACTGCTGAAAAGCGGGCGGTGCAAACCAGGGCAGCCGAGCGGCAGAGCTCTGCTGCTGCTAGCGAGGACAGCGTTCCTTCCGAGGAACAGCTTCGCAAAGGATACGCTAAATGACCCCGTCCTTGGGGTCTGGAGCTGCAAAGTGCTCCGTTCGAGAGGAGACCCGTGTCTGGGCAGGGCAGCAACACCTGCCAGCGAGGCTGCACCCCCCTGGAAGGCCCTGGGCTCTAGGAGCTTCTCGCAAGATGCTGGTGCTTTTCGTTATGCAGTACTTGTCTTTCGGAGGAAAGGCAGCACTTTGAAGCAGGTATTTGGCTTTCGGAAAATCCTAAAAAATCCTACAGTTTAGTCATACACACTAAAAGAAAGGCCTTTGAATTTAATTAAGTGGATCTTATTGAAAACAAACTGCTGTTGTGCCCCTGATGTGCACCAGGCACCACCTCTTCAGCATTTCATATCGTTCTCAGAGAAGTGGCTGAGGACACTCTGCTGCAGATAACCGTGTTTTGAAGCCCCCTTAATTCAGCGGAGAAGCTCCCGTTGGACTTCTAAGGGACCTAATGCAAATTCTCAATTACAAAAAAGCTGAGGACAAGTAACTTAGGTCCTAAAGGCTCCACTTGAATTCTTACAAAACATTGTCCCTTGACCTCTTCACCCAGAAGATGGAGCAGGCTGTTTGGCTTGGTGTATCCTACAAAGCAGACCTGAAAGGGCTTGTAACACGGAGGAATATCTATATATATCTAAGCCACAACCAAAATGACTCAAAAGCTCTACTTTTCCCTGGCTTGCTGGAATGATCAAAACCTTCCTCCAGCCTTCCCTCTTAAACTGCGCGACTGCCACTCGCCCCGTGGGGTTTCAGAACCCTCCAGTCCACAACCAGTGAAAAGTCTTTTAAAAGTGACCAGCAGCGGGACATCACTTGATCAAAGAAGCTTGACAAAAGGTGATTAAGACCAACTTCAGAGATGCTATGGGAATTAGAAATTCGTATGAATTTTAAATAGTTAAAAACACAGTTTTAAGCTATATGATCCAACAATAGGTAAAAATCTTGCTGGCAAGCCAAGAGCCTAATCTTCCCCAAAGCTAGTCTTACCCAAACAGTTGTCTTCCTACTTACATGATACATGAGATTTGAACTGACATCCAGCACGTGACACAAACAGAAAAAACAGGCATAAAATGCACACTTCCCGTGTTTTTTCTTCATAAAGCTATGGAGCTGCACAGAGCAAACTTAAGTGCACAAGGTCACACAAAGGCAGCTTTCCAGTAGGAATCATTTAGACGGTGAGCGAAATGAAGCTGTTGTATCTCTGAATGTTTCTCTTGAGGATTTCGGAACAAGGACCCAGCACTCGTTCGAAGCGGGGCCGGTCCAGCTTTACGCACTTGAGGGGTCCGCGTGCCACCACCGTGGCCGCCCGGGGCCGATTGAGCAGCAGCGCTATCTCACCTGGAAACAGGGATAAACACGCCGTCACACGCCCTGTGCCTGTTTTTCAGAGGGTGCATATTCCAGCCCCCATCCATTGCTTTGGCTGTAGAACATCTCCCTTTATGTATCTCCTGACAGACACTTTACATAATTCTGTTGACAGTACAAATGCATGACACATGCATAATGCATGCGTGTAAAATGCCTTTGAAAACAACTGCTTTCCACTGTGCTGCTGATTCTGGATCTGCCTCCTGTCAGCTACACAGGTGCAAACCAAGGAATGGTTACAGCTTCACCCTCGGTATCGCTGCAGCTGCGGCTGACCTACACGTAACCCCTCGCTTGCAAAAGAGCAGGATACTAATTAAGACAGTAACTACCTGACACAGCTCCTTGCCTGGCTTTCTGAGCCATGCTTAAGCTACATTTTCTTACCAAAATAATCCGATGGACCAAGTCTTCCAACCTCCACGTACTCCTCGTTGTCAGACCTGCGCTGCAGCACAGAAGCTGTGCCCTGGGAACAGAAGTGCAGAGAGTCAGTTGGCTTTGCTTAAACCTGTTATGCTTTAAATAGTACCGAGCCCTGAGTATTCCCTTTTGCACGGCACACTCCTTCAGTTTGCTGCGGGAGAGATGACAATTTCAGTCAGTTCCTGATGTATGAATGAAAGGAATTAAAGGATAAAAGAGAAATCCATCAGTATGGCACTCTCTTATGAGTTGTTTGGGTGCAGACAGGTGCAGCTCACGCGGAAGAGGAACAGGACAGAACTCAGTAACTCCTATGTAACTAATGCACATCGTGCTGTGCAAACGTATGATTTAATAGAATTTAAAAATATGTTCTGGGTGGATTCAGAACCTTCCAGGAGACATAGAAACGGTTTACATCAAAAGGAATTAAAAAAAAAGGCAATTTTCCCAGTCACAATCTTGGGACATGATTTTCTAAGACAGCAGCTAGCGCTGACTCCTCACCTGATCATTCTCTGGGTCTGTTCCCGAAATGGTTGGTAAAGGGAGTTTTTAATGCTTGTTGCAACGAAGGGTGATTTTTTTTTTTTTTAGTGGCTTTGCCCGCTTGGGGCCTGCAGTGATCTGGACACCTGCGAGTCAGTCGCTTGGAGAGATGGAATGTGTCTTGTCTCCACTACCCTTAATAACTGCTGCACTTGACACGTGCTAATACATGTCAAAACCCAGTTACAGTCTATTTAGACCTTCAAAGAGGTTTTACATGCAGAAATATTCTGACCTGGAGGAAATCTTAAATTATTGTGGCATAATCCTTTTGTAGAGGAATAGAGCAGGGATCTGGTTTTCTGGGAAAAAAATTACAGTAACACATGAAATGATCTGACTGCAAACCAAAAGCATAGGGAAAGGCAAAATGTTAACATATTTTGATTTTAACTGAAATTTAAAAGATTTTTAAAAGCCAAGATTTTTAAATAGACTGGAGAGGCATTTTTTGACAGTGCAGTTGGAGCACATTGATGTTTTGATGGTTTTTTTTAAGATTTTCAGCTTGGAAAGTAACACATGAGGGTTGAGCTGCCCCAACCAGGACAGGGAAGGGGAGGAGACACAGTAATGTGGACTGTGCTTGGAAGATTGATGCCAGTTACTGGAAAACACCACTCTGCAGTTGAACACCCAAGTCCTGCATTGCAGTGTTGGTGCCTGCAACCAGCTGCAGGACCTCCCCAGCTCGGAGCCCAAACCTCCCTCCAGCTTCACTGGCTGCAAATACCCTGCAGCTTCCTTCCACCAAAAGAAACTTGTGAGACTCCAGGCGCAGCGGGGGGCTTGAGGAGGCACCGAGCACCCTGAAACACATGGGCTTCGATGCAGTCACAGGCGCTCAGCGCTCTGCAGAACGGCCCTCCACCTTTGCACTGCGTTCACACAACCCTCCCGTGTCCCAAACACCGCCATCGAACAGCAACATAAGGCTGCTTCAGGTCTGGCATCTGCTGCTCTAGGACCTGAGGGCCCAGGAGTAACCACGAGAGGTAGAATATCCACTATTATGTCGCAAATCATCATAATTTGCTTCCTTCTGAACAAGCACAACTAAGCTGCTGTAATATCGTTGTATTGCATCACGTTCTATTTCATAACAGGGTCATTTTTAAGCCCATATACTTTACAAATTGCTGGGCCACTCTCCAGGGTAACTTATGTGCTGTATAAATGAGAAGGTAAATCTTAGCTCTGCTGATGCCCGGAACCAGAAATAAAAATCAAATACTGTATTGTTTGACACAAGCTAAGCAGCTGATGGTTTTTATACAGGCCTGGATGTACATCAAGTTAATCTGGCACACTGAAAGTTATAATTTCTCATTTTGCCCACTAGCAGTAACCTGGGTGTAGTATAAACCCCCAGATAGCAGACGGTCAAGATGTTGCATTGGTCACGACAATTTGCTGTTCCACAGCTACACGCTGTATCAGCATTACAAAAATACTGGAAAAACACCAGGGCTGTAAATCCAGGTCCGTTAGAAAACAATCACAAAACCCTTCTCGGCTTCAGTTCCTTCACTCTTAATACACCCGGCAGCTGATGGCAGAAGGAACCACATCCTTGGCACAACATGCACGAGCAAGGGCACCTGAACTGGGCAAGGTTGTTCAAAAATAAGCCAAACGTACAGGGGAAGGTTGGGTTTGGTCTTTTGTGGGGTTTATTTGGGGTTTTATTTACCATTAAAACATGCCATACACATAAAACTGGCCACAGCAAGTGTAAGGCCCTCCACAGAAGTCAATGGAAGAGCTGGATATAAGAAAGTGATTTGGTGCCTGTCAAGTTTCCAGCAAAAATTCCTTATCCTTGATATAACTAAATTGTTCCGCCAAAGCTGCTGTTTTCCAAGATCTTCCAGTAAATCTGCAAGGGCATGGAAATGCAAAGATAGTGTAATGAGTTTTGTTATTCACACTTACTGCAAGTTTTCAGAACAAACACACATTCAAAAGCAGCATTCTCGGAAATACCCCATACAGGGAGTAACGTGTATCTTGGTCTCTCTCTTGCCAACTTCAGATCAGGTGCGGCTATTAAACTGCTGCTGTTCTCACTGCCTGGGCAGTGTAGATGGATGCAGCTCCAGAATCGCTTCCAGCCCCTGTCCTTCTCTGCGTCCCCATCTGGAGCCTGGCAAAAACCTAACCCCTTGACCCAAATAGCTGTCTGCAATCCATGTCTCCAGTCTCTTTCCCAAAACTATTTTTTTAAAAAAAAAAACCCTTTTATTACAGATGTTTTATTACATAAACTGAAAGAAATCCCCGAAGTGATCATATTGACTGCCCAGGTCAAACGAAGAAAGGACCTGGTTCCCCACTGCCCACTCGAGCATGCTGCCGTAAAGGTAATCACAATATCAAGCAATATTGCTTTCATCTCCCCAAGTGTCAGCTTTTATTGTGGCTAATATTTTTTTGACAGGGTCCATATGATATAGGACTCCAATAAGTCAGTCTTCTGAAGCAATTTCTTCCACTGTTCCACTACAGTCGGCCTTTTTAATCCAAGAAACACCACGATATCTGTTGGAGGAGGACAGATGTGTCTGGCCTCCACAATAAACACTTGGCTTGGCAGGATAAAGCAATGCGTATTCCAGATACATATTTTTCCACTCTTGTTTTAACACTCACACAGGCTTTTCCCGTTGCCCAGTGAGAACAGGTCTATCACGGAGCAAAAGAAGTTTCCTGAAACCCTGACAGCGAGCGCCCAGATGCAAGATCTGATTACACCCCGTGGCCTCTCCTTGCACCAGTCACCAGCTCCACAAGTACATCCTGAAGCACTGTCAGAGTGACCTTTGCGGGAAGACTGTCCACACCACGAAACAAAGAAGATGTATTTATTGTTATCTGTCTGCGTGTGTCTTATCTCTGGAATTAATGCTGTTCTGAATGTATCAGAGGAAGAGTGCAATTGAAGATGACCGGTGTAACCAGGGCAAAAATAATACAGAAATAAACCAGTACAGACTAAAATGAAATAATACAGAATGAAATAGTACAGAAAACATGAGGTTATTACCCATATACTCAATGAAGTTGTCATAGCAAATGAATTCGGTGCTGACCCCTACCCTTGCTCCCATCACTGGTTTCATGGCTGTATTTCCTTTCACTTGTCAAATCTTCACCACACAGTTTTTGAGGTTTCTGTCCTCCTTGCGCTTTAGCAAACCCTACCTGCTGTAAATGATACGAGTGAATAAATCTCCTGAGCCCTGTCCCGGGAGGCACGAGCATTATCTAGCAAGGATTCAAGGGGCTTATCGCTCTCACTCCCAAAAGCATTTGGTCTCAGTGGAAAAGATTTCCCCTTAAATGGCACACAAAGCTTGGCAAGATCAGTCTCTCTGAAATGAACGGCACGATCCCAGACTTGCAGGATCAGGCGATTTAGTGCTGCTCAATTTAAAAAATACCGTCTTGTACACTGACAGCCATTTCAGCCTCCTACACCACCAAGCAAAACCTACAGAGCACAGGCTCAAAGACTGTCAAGAAGTTTGACACCATTTAATAAATCAGCACTTTGTGATGATATTAAACTGAAGGCAGACAGGCATGTCTTTCTGCTAGCAGACACTTGGGAGTGAAATTATGATCTTTGGTGGATCCAGGAATATTCCCTTTCAGTCACTGGGGAGTGCCTGTATTCCCAGGAATCGATACCATTAACCTTCTCTCCTCTCCTCCAAGTAAATATGGGCATCTTATTGCAAAAACAACAAGCGTAGCAGTTCCAAAAGCAATGTGCCATCACCACCTCTCTGCCACCCTCACCCCACGCACCTGCTCACTCCCTCTGTCACTGCTCTGTCACAGCGCTGAGAGTATTTATTGGGCTCTTTCAAATGCATCAGCAGTTTGTTTTGTAAAAATTTATGGCTTAGATACGGCGCCATAATTTAAGATATAAAAAATAAATGAAGGTTTATAATCCATGAGTTCCCATCCTCTCCAAAGTAATGAGATTTTGATAGATGTTTCACTTTTAAACTATTGGACCATACGGACGAGTGAGACATCCCGTGGCATGAAGACAGTGACCCATCTAGATCAACGTGGAGATTCCCAGGCCTTACCCTGCACATACTTATAAGCACTAATTGCTTCAGGAGTCCCGTTTTTATATTTACGTACGGATCCTATAGCCAGCAGTTGGCCTAAGCAGCCTGGCTATGAAAGGCAAAGGTTCATGATGCTAAAACCTGAAATTCTGTACTTTTTCCTCTCTTCCAGCTCAGCGGATCGGATGGGATGATTCCGGGGCAGCACAAGGCAAAATGTGGTGGACAGTGGTGTGTCCGTGTTACCCGTGGGTGGGCAGGCTGTGCAGTATAGTCCTTCACCGGGGGCAGCGGGTGCGAAAGGAAATTCAGCACTGTTTTAAAAACTTTTTGGTTTAAAAGTCAATCTTGTTGATGTTTTGGTTTTGTTGGGCTAAACTCCCATTTTAAAGATAGAGCAATG